AGTCTTCACCGCTCCACAAGACAACACAGCAGTAAAACATGTGAAATACTAAAAGACGTATTGGATATGAGAGAGTGAAGCGCTCAACTGAACGATGGTAAAATAATTTTGCTATTAAAAAAGTTCACAACTCAATGTTCTTGACGCTCGTTCCAAGTAAGATTTCAATCCGAGGATTTCGAAATACCGTAGTCGTACAAAAAGAGATGGAACACATATCGTGAAGAGTAGGAAAAACTGTTGCCATGCTAATGCGGCCCGTTGAAATTGTGCTTGGCAAGCCTCCACGATCTCGAAAGGGTTTCGAGACAGTGTTGCGTAATGACCAGAGTTCATGGCGATGACCTCACTCGGGCTACGCTTCACAAGAGCCCTGGGTTTCGAAATCTGAAAGGTTGCGAGCAGCTGAACTGGTAATTGAGGGCCTTGTTATTGTAAACATCGAGGAAATCGCAAAAAGGAAGGAGGCATAGTGCAAAGGCAGCCATGAAGAAACGAGGCAATGGATTCAGTTTGGGATAACTGAGCAACCATCGAAACCCATGTTTGTATGACGAGTGAAAGCAATTAAACAAAAAATCGAGGAAAAGGATGAAAAATTGAAAGAAGAAAGAAAACCAAACTAAGTGTTGAATAAAAGAATTGCTGAAGGAAGAGTAGTGAAGAAAGGAACTTGATTGTGTGACTGCTGGAGCTGAAAGCCCTCGAGCTTCTGACGTTTACAAGTGGGCGGAGCCCCATTGCATCAGCTTTCGAGGAACGTTTTTTGCCTCGATCCTGGCGGTGCTTTGCCGTCACACCTGATTATGGCCTGATTAGTGGATGTACTGGTAATCATCAGAGATTGTTCTATTATGGTATTTGCCTACATTGACCGCTTCCATTGGTGGTGGAATGAATGGCCTGATTAGTGGATGTACTGGTAATCATCAGAGATTGTTCTATTATGGTATTTGCCTACATTGACCGCTTCCATTGGTGGTGGAATGAAGAAGTCCCCAACAGAGCTCTAAGACTACACCACTTTTTGGAAACTCACTTTCCTAATCAGAGAACGTCAAATAACTCTGAAATTCACTTAAAGGTTTCGGGTTACAAAAACAGGTCAGGGGCAGTGATCATTTCGGTTTCCAGCCGACCCTCATTACAAATATAGAGATAGAATATTGGAAAGATTTCTTTTTGAGCCCAAGAGACAATAAACACGAGAAAAGGAGCTCACTTTGGACCAGCACAGGACAGGAAAAACCAAAAATCAGACCACTAGATTCCCAAAAAACAGCTTCAAATGTGCTATTTGGGTCAGGACTGTGGTAAGGTCATCTCATCATTATGGATTCATTAGAGATTGCCCATGTCCTTACTAGTCTCTATAGTAGGAGTTTGGACCTCGCATCATCTTTCTTTTGGTTGATTCAACGACAGCTCCTAATCCCAACTTGCCCATTACTCAAATCTCCCCTCTCCTTGTCCCACATTCTTTTCTCTCCATACCCTTCAATCTTTTTAACGGGCTTCTCCAACACGGTGGTCCCATTCCACACGTGCTATTTACGACATTCCCGGATACGGAGACTTCGCAGCAGTCAAAACGGGCAGTGACCGGTGAGTCTCATCTTGGTAGTGTATCCACTATGGGAAGTTATATCATTAGAATTACCTGGCGAATAACAAGCGAAGGATAGAGAACCACTTTGAATCGATCTCTCTATCCAATTATTAAATCAAGCTGGATTATTGCGTGGAACACCTGCCCAGACCACTGCTAGCGGTTTTATTGCTTCTCATGTCAGTAAGAATGTGATGAAGGTGCCCAGCATGTTCGATATGTCGAAGATTTGTGGTGGTCCATCACTGGATGTGTAAACCCTTCGGAGT